GCAACTGCCACGGAAGCAACTGCCACGGAAGCAACTGGTGTGGGCACAGCCGGTGTGGGCACAGCCGGTGTGGGCACAGCCGGTGTGGGCACAGCCGGTGTGGGCACAGCCGGTGAAGGCACAGCCGGTGAAGGCACAGCCGGTGAAGGCACAGCCGGTGAAGGCACAGCCGGTGAAGGCCCAGGTTTCGATCGAGACACAGAATCTGGCATGGAGTATGAACATAGCAGCGGCGTAGAGGCAGTGGCGGCTCTGCTGAATCAGGTCGTGCACCAAGACTCGGACTCGGAGGATGGTACCCCCACCTTCCCGTGGCCGTCGTGGCTTGTTGATGCCTTCAAGGCGAATGAGAACTCTCCTTCCAGCTTGGACGGATCCAGTGAGCAGCCAAACGGTCGACTATCTCCATCATCGCCTGCTTTCATTCTCCCTTCCTTCAAAAAGACAACTACCGGTTACCTACGCATGTTCGGTGTCTACGGCGACTCGGACGAGGACGAAACCGGACCCCCCTTGCGCAAGGAATCCCGAACGGAAGTGATTCACCAACATGTTATCGGGCAAGAAGAGGATATTGACCACCATGTTATCGGGCATGATGATGATGATGAGAAGGTGGACAAATTACAAGGCCTGAAGAAAAACCCTTCATTCGGTTTGTCTGGATTATTAAAGAAAATTGCGGTTCATGTTTCCAATTTGTATGGAGGAGACGAGGATCCAGACATGCGAACAAAGACAGCTATAGATGAATTTTTTCAGGAGTTTAGGACGATCCTGGAGAGCACGAATTACGGAGAGGAGTTGGAAGAATATGGTTGGACAGCATTAAGGATTAGGGTTGAGGTTCTGGAGCGTGTGATGGAGGAGTACAAACAGTTATTGATCGGCAAGATCAAGAAAATGGAGCAGGGTCGGGACACTAGTGTGTCCCTGAAGGACCAGGAAGCGGCCGCCTTCCTATACAGCCGGTTCACCAAGATGTCGGAGTCGGACAAGCTGTACGTGCCTGGTCGTATAATTCAAATAATTCCTATCGAACACTTCGTCGGTAGCGATCCACTGTGGTCTGTTGGGCCAACCACTCAGTCTAAAAGTCCCTCTTCCCCCACTCTATCTTCCTACAGAACGAACACCGCCGTCCACCCCATCGCAAATGATTGCCCTCCCGATGCCTCCATTAAGGCCCAGATGTGGTGCCTCCTGTCTCAACCGGGGGCCACCCTTCCTTCACAAGTTTTCATAGACGCAACAGGATGCCGCCTGGACTGGTTCGAACCGGTCTTCTTCCCGAGCTCCATAGAAGATCATTCTCCAGCATCCTATAGTAAGGGACTGGCGCCTGACGCTTAGAACTCAGAGATTTCGGGACATAGAGCTCAGCTCGCCACTGGTTCTAACTATGTGCAATCCAACTATACCGATATACGCAATCGTTCGATGCAATCGTTCGATACAATCGTTCGATGCAATCGTTCGACACAATCGTTCGATGCAATCG